CCTGTGGCGCGTCCGATCACTCGCAACTCGCTTGCTTTTCGCAAAGTCGGCGACCTAAGTCGTGGCAGAAACGCCGTCAAAACGCGAGGTCCACGCGCGAGGAAAATAGCAAACTCTTTCCTTTTTTTTTTTTTATCAAGCCTGCGTATCCTGTGAGTAGGATACATTGACTTGGTCGAGCCCCGGTTCTTTAAATCCTAAGCTATTTCCTATCTAACGGGTAGTAACTACTGTTCTGTGCATCTGTATCACCAGGAGAAAACTTTATAGCTTCAAAAACCTATTCTTCGGTGAACGTTGAACCGGCAAAAGAATGAGTATTCAAGACTCGACTTAACTGATGGATTGTATTATACAGATTTTAATTAATTGCATCGAACGTTTCTCTACGTTAATGCCTGACATTTAAAGCAAAAGCGTTCAAAGATGGTCAAACAATGAAAAACATTCACCAGATTACCTAATACTAAGTAAATAAGAAACCACAGTAGAACTAATTTTACTAACAGTATTCACAACGAATAAATTTACAGTGAGATGTAATGTCTTATTATCCTCAGTTTCAACAAGGGTACTGCCGTGAACCACAGATGTTGAAGATAAATTACGCTGACAAGCAGACGATTGTGTAGCTTGGTGTAGTCTTCAAAACCAAAAGCTAAAAGAACTTCCTCTACTGCTTTTTATTATAATTGTGCTACTGCTTATCCTTTCCACTAGCTGCCCAAGTAAATCAGACGCTTAACAAACAGATCGCATTATAGAAGTTGATTCAACTTAAGTTATAACCAAGCGAAGCTGTGTATTTAAACTGTCTTCATGTCACAAGAAGTGTTGTTCATGAATCACAGTTTTTTTATATGTACATAAATGACGGACATTTTGCACATGTCACAGGTGTTACGTCGACAAATACCATTGCACCCCACATAGCGCCATCTATAGCTGTGTATTTGTTCAGTCAGTCGATATAATATTATTCAAAATACCTGTCCCTGGTTTGTCTCGCATCCGTTCGAAATTTTCGATTATAAATCTAGCGTAACGATGTCGTTAATATACTAATGCGTATTTTTATAATACGATTGCAATTATTATTTAATCTTATACATAGATGATTCACTAAATAATAAAAACACATATATATGTGCATGTACGTCTTGTTCAACATGGCTTATATATGCTAATGACATATAACTCAACCAGTCTAAACCGTAACGCCGTTTGTGTCATATTTTGCTTACGTCTTTTCGGCTAGACGATTATAAATACAGTTGATTTAAGTAGCGCGTCGGATAGAGTACCGCTTCCGTCACTATCATCACTACCATCATTGTCATCGACATCATAACCCATCTATTCATAGGCCACGGATCGCCGAAAGTGCAACGTCCGATCGAGCGCGCCTATAGTATCCCTATACTGGATCGTTAGCGATTTTGCTAGATGGGCTAATAGAGGCATTTATGGCAGTTTCTCGCACCCGGGTCTAAAAAAAAAAAACTCCCTGGAGCGACCTTCGTGCCCACTCGCCAATGGCTATACCTACTTAAGATACCAGACCAAATAAAGCAAGACATTCTTTACTTCAGATGGCACTTTGAATCGAATGCATAATGTAAATGTTTCGTCCTCCTGATGTGGGGAACTACCGAAAGCGTCATTTGTTTGTTGGGCCGTCTACTCTGTCGGTTGTTGGAACTGCGACGATCTGTAGTGACAAAGTCGACGATGAACAGTAAACACCTGCCTTTGTTAAATCAATTTGAATTTGCTACGGGTACCTGACCATTGACAGTCAAAAAGGAGCAAATTAACGTTTGTTTTAAAGGTTATAACGCCCAGCGTGAGGACCTTTACAGCTGGAAAAAAGAACAAGAAGGTCCCGTAACAATTTTTCGCCAAATTGGCCGTTTGTATAGCTATAAACAGAAGCGATCAATTTTACCTATGTCTTAGATACAAATAAACATGTATCAGGAAAATAGTTTTCACTTCTTCTATTTTGAAGTAGATTAAGAAAAGGGGAGAGTGAATAGTTGTGTGAGCAACATATTTTAATATGGAATAAACATTATTGTAATAAAATCTTTCGTCAGAGATAACTTTCGTGTTGTAACCTTACGAGAAGCTGGCGTAGAGATTCCAAGAGGAAGAATGAAAGGTATAATTTTAAAAAGTTATATAATCCTATAAGAAATTGGGTAAAATTTTACAATTTCGTGCCGTTCGATTCGCTTTAATTCTGCAAACACAATTCATATACGAAGGTGTGCTTTAAAACAAATCTTGAGCAGCTTGTCGTCATTTGCCAAAATCAATCAGCTTTCAATAGAAACTTATCATACACTGCTTGCTCTTCTATAGATTTACATCATTTCGAGAGTATACGCCCTGTAATTGGAAAATGGCGCGCAAAAACAACAATAATTTGTGTTTTCTAGAATACGACATGTCGATAGTAGGAAATTTCCCCATTTACATATGGAATGAAATACGAAAAGTATATAGATCGTCTAACTGCGTGTGTTTAAAAAGAGATAAGATATTTTCGCAAGTTGCAATTGGAAAAAGCTTAGTTGAAAAAAGTAACTCTAGTTAAGTAACCTATGATAACTAGTCCTGTTACTATTCTACATCTAAAAAGTTATTTAGGTCTTTATTTCAATAATTGTTGTATTTTATATAGTAAAACAGTCCGTAGAAGCGGAAGGGAAGGTCTGATCACTAAAAACTTACTAATACCTATTTCAAATCGAGATTAAATAAGAAATTTTTGTTGAAGTTACTGTATTTCAATGATAATAGTTACATTTGAAACCGACCGTAGATATAGACTATAAGACCCGACATTTGCTGGCAATTTATTTTACTTTTTAATTATACATCGACAACAACAACAACAACATCTGCTTTTGTTCATAGGACGCTTGCGGATGACATTTTTCGACTGCTTTTCATTTTTGGCCTTAACTGATTGCCGAATCTGGTTAAATATCATACGCTTGTTTCCCAAGGCTAACGCATCAATAAGTCTCAATGGAACGACGGCCGTAACAGCGGCACTAAAATTGCATGCTTTTCTCCAGCTCAACGAAGCTACATATTAATGATGCCATTCTTTCATCTTGGTCACCTTAACGGCCGTGTCCGCTGTCCGACGATATTTTCCAAAATGAACGAACTGCTGCACAGTATCAGAGAACGGGTGGATCTCGGCGGCCCATGCTTGACCACAAACACTTACGCCAATGTCAAAATTGAAAAAGGGCAGGTCTTGGCCACCGAGTCTGAGCCTGCGGCCTTCAGCAGAAGTAATAGAAGTCTGCTAGGCAATGTGATCAGCAGCCTCTTAAAACGGCGAGCGGGAACTGCGTCCTAAATAATTGAGACGCCCCAGGCCAATCTTAGCGACGGAAAAAGAGGAAAAGAACGACCACGAAAAAGAAGTGAAGTGAGAAGCCCAAAGAAAGGAAACGCACGAAAAAGAATCCCGAAGATTTCTCGCTGCTACTGTTGGGCGTCGGTCACACGTGATAGCCCAGGGGCGGCGTGGAAGGGAACAGCTTTCAAGAGACTCGAGGACCCAGCCAGAAAAAAACCGAAGGCGACGGCAGCATTATCCATTGTACAGATGGTTGCTGCACAAGAAACTAGACAGGCGTTAAAGTACATCGAATCGAGCAACTCAGCAGACTTCGGTAGCATGTCCTGTGAAAGAATACGATACGCCAAAAGGGGCCCAAGAAGACCGTGCCAAGGACGCCCGCAAGAAATCTTACGATAGGCTCTCACAAGATAAGGCCAGGATACATTGAAATACATTCTCATATAGACCATCTTAAACACACATTTTAAATATACCTGCCTGCGACAACGCGAAGCTATTTCTTGAGACTCATTAGATGGCGGTTCTCAGCATTAGTATAGTTTTTCCCGGATCGAATACCTTAAAATATAAGAAATAGTTGAATGGTCATTTCGCTTGATTGACATAGCTGATTAGATGATGCCGTTTTTCCAGATGTGCAAAGTAGATGCAGGCAGCTACGATATTGATTTACAATCTTTCGTCAATCAATGTAGAGGGGATCTCTCGTTTTGGAGTCGCCTACAAAGTCTCCAGTTAGCAGCCTTAATTTTACTAGGCTCTCGTTAGGTAAACTCTTGCCAAGTCCAAAAGTAAAGGAAAACTAGTCTCCTTCGTCAATTGTTGTCAATAATGTTACTAAACATCTTTCACTCAGCTAATGGAAATACTGACCTAAAAATACCAGGAACCAGGAAAGGAACCAGAAAATAATGGCTCAAAATTGTTTCAAGTTTATTTGCTTCATGTAGATGAAAATAGCACGACGCATAACCAAATGAGATCGAAGAGATCACACGGGGCAAACCGCCTGCCTAGGCCATTTCCCAATGTCGCATAAATACTGCAAAGGTAAATAGTTTGGATAGTCAACCGTGTAAATGCCGAGACACAGCAAATGAAAACCAAAATTGTGAGCATCAGACGAGCAAGTAGAAGGATAGACATAGACACACAGCCTGATTTGTGCGAAAAGCATTGGCGATCCGAAGGGACTAGAAGTTGATTATTGTGTGACTCGTGGATAACCTGTAGATTATATAGGTCCTCCTCATTAGATAAACTGACAGCCCTAAAGGATTGTTCAATACAAAGATTTCGTTCATCAAACATCATTAATAAACTATCGTATACATTGACATTATTATTTTGGTATTCTAGCTAGCTAGCTAGCTAACATGAGGGATAGCGACCTGACGGGCGCGTCATCGTTGATGTCATCCTCAACTTTTTTTTTTCTTGTTTCCTTCGTTGCTTGGCTCAACCGGCCAAGGCACCTTCACTCCTTGCCACGTCGAAACGCTTTGGAAAGTCATTTCGTAGCTACTAAAGAGGGAAATCGATTCCTCAGCGTTGGCTTACCCGACCGACGACTGTTTTAGCGGTCGCGGTTCATCCCTGGGGTGACAAATTTTCGTTAGTGCCTTACGCTGCAGCATATGCCCTTATCGTGAATTAGCAAAATGTGATGTTGCAGTGAGACGATTACGCCGAAATGGATTGATGAATCGCGATTATGTGTAGTCCCTGACCCTGGAGAGGTATTCGTCTCGTGTAAGATAAGCTCAGCGATTTTCAACAATACCCTATATAGAAATGTAGGCAGGCGTAACATTGATCACGCGCAGATCTAACCCGACGTCATCTGTGAGAGCAATACCTAGCATGTGATTTCGTAGTGATATATTATTTTGTTCTATATATATATATATCTCATTGTCTGATTGCCGTAAGGGACATATTGGAAAATTCTGAACATTTGTTTTAAGAAACCTGGTTAGAATAGCGCTTTCTTTTTCCATAGGGTATTCATACCTGGTAAAGTTCCCTGTGATTTTCTGGATATAACAGTGGCGTTTGAGCAGATTTTATTGAAAATAATGTTCTGTTTACTCTGTTCGATTATACTGTTTGTTTAACATGTAAGATTGAAGATCGTAGGTTACTTGAATGCACCACGAGAATTTCGTACGATTTTTTAAAAAGCTTAGTCATATCATATTTTATAAATGATGGCAAGAAAGCTTTCTGAAAACTACATACAGATAGCAGGCTATCGATAACGTTACTGGTAGTCGGTATCGGGTCTGTGAAGATCTCTCGCTGATTTTTCAAGCTTGTCTCTGTCAGAGGTATGCTCACTTGGAATAACTTCTTACGGAATTAGAAGAGATTGTGCACCGTATTCGTCTGCCTGTATATTGTTATTGTGTAGAAAGTTTCGAAAAAAGTTATCAAAGAGTAATGTTTTTGTTAACCCGCAGGGTGCCAATATCGCGCACGACGGAAAACACAATAAAAAAGAAAAAGCAAAGGAAAAGCAGAAAAAGGAAAAGCGAAAAACATGATTCTGCTAAAAACAGCATTTGTCATATTGTCAGGTATGGAACCGTATTTTCAGATATTCCAACATGCCTACGCACTACAATCTAATGTTGTTATAATCGATTGGTGAGGCGGCTTTGGTGGTCTTCTTTATACAGTCTGAATAAAAACTTGATAATTTAAAAACAACAAAAATGTCATATTTCGATTGAGATTACCGACCAGGTGACTCCCGAAGATAGAAATAAATTGTGTGCAAAATGCATGCGTGCTCCATATAAAAAAAGTAAGTTAACGGTAGAAAAAATGAGGGCTCCACCCAGCCCTCATTTTAAGATTAAGTGTTAACTACACTTAATCAACTAATTCCCAAGAACAAGTGTTCATTTCATTCCAGTAAGTTCCCAGTGGAAATCTATAAATTGCCGATTAGAAAACTGGCAATTTTTTAGGTAGGTTTTTTCGGAGATTTCCAACGGCAAGCCAACGTCTTCCAAATTGCGGACACACTATTTCTTTCTCTGGACATACATCTTTTTTTTTTCTTCGAGGTTGAGGGCGAATGCATTATGCAGACCAGACATCCCTATATTGTGCTTTGTCTGGTACTGTGGGACTCTCACCCACTAAACCTGGACCCTTCATCAGCTTGGGTCATGGTTCGGGATATATTTAATATTACTTCGAGAGGACTTACCTCTACGTTAGGTGCACGTATCTCCCACTGTGTAGAATATTATGTAATTTACACAACTGTTTTAAAAGGGAAGGTAATATTACCAGTGGAACTGTCACAAAACAACGTATTACCTCGCGGCCCTCATTATGTAAGCAGTAAGTGCGCAAAGGACGTGCCAATTTGTACATGGTGCGGGTTGTAGCAGCTCTTGCCAACGAGCAGCTTACCGAAAAAAGCCGGTTAGCGAAACTCTATAAGCCGAGAAAAACCGTCTAAATAAATAATACGACAGATGTAATAACGATGCCGATACGAGCCTCCACTTTTTACCTTTCTATCTGTACTGGCTAAAACACGACATATACATCAGTTCATCGCTCCTCTATTAATTAATGTTTACTCGAAGCTATAGCGGCTGACCTGTTTCAGTCTCGGCCATGTGAGTCCTACGAGTTATTAATTGGAGCTTACCGACCGTTAATGGATCACACAGGGTGGTTAGAGTTCGATAATCATCTGATAGAAGGACGTTTGGGGCCATGATATCCGAGCCTACTTGTTAGCAACCTAGAAGTCAAGTCAGAAAGCGACCTATAAATTATTGAGGTCCGATATTCTAATCAGCAACAACTTTAAGCGATACAAAACCCAAAATGTTCGTCGTCCCATGATTCTATTGTTTCGATAAGGTAACAATATGCTGATACTGTCAGCAAGTTACTACCACTGATGAGCCAATTGCTTTTCTGTGTTTGATCGTTAATCTGTCAAATTACGCAATGACAAATGAGCAGCTATTCGAAGCCCAAATTAAGCCCATTAAAATAAGCCCAAATTACCCTGCGATACCCTGGACTTGAGCTATGCAAATTTAGCACTATATGATCTTCATTAATGAACTTTATGTAATAATAAAAATATTCCGTATCTGAGGAACAATACTGAATTCGCCTTTTCCTCCGGGTTCAAGCCGCTGATCGGCCGACTTCCGACGAAGACACGCACCTGAATAGAATGGCTCGATCTTCTAACGATGTTGAATAGGCCAAAAACAGAAACAGCACTCGCGGAGGGGCCCTTTGATAGATAGCGTATTATAAGATTCAACTTATCTCATACTTACAAAGAAAACGACAATTATGAGTGTTTAACAGTGTTTCTGTCTTTAGCACATAGGGCATCATTCCAACGCCAACCTAATTTCATATATATATATATATATATATATATATATATATATATATATGATATGTATATACAAAATATATTCTGCTGCCTAAGGAGGATTTTTCACGCAAATTATTTCATGAGCAGAGTTAACTGTACTCCGTTTGTGGTCGGCTTCCATTATCTGTTTAGTTGTCTATTTTTTTTTTTATATAATAAGACCGCTAGGCGTTAGCAAAACGATGCAAGTACCACAGCGCCATCTGTCGTTTCTACTGAGCAGCGTGACAAATGTTCCACGAATTGTATAGGGTAGGTGAAGAAGCGTTTAAAACCGATACATAAATCAGAAGCATTTATAAGACGATCGTGAATTATTTGTACGAAGTCAAATTGAACAAACATTATATTGCATTTACTATGGCCTTTTCAGCAGTTCGAAAATTTATAAAACAATTGCCGGCAATTTATGATTGCTTTGTTGTTCGAAGGCGAAAAACGCCATTAAGAAATGTGTGATTCACGGGAACGCATCCATCTTGCCTCGTTGTGCCTAGCCCAGTTTTGTCCTGCGAGCAATATATCTCTGCGTGTTTTACGATACGAAAAAGATCTTTAATGAATTATAGATTATAATCGTAAACTATGCTTCTAAAAAATGTTCGAGGGGTGGATTCGACTGTACTGGTAACTGCGTTACGGTTCCAGGTGCATCCCCTAGCTTGCGTTCATTGAGAACGAAATGTTTTGAGAGGAACGTTGCTTTGCAAGGTTCTATGACGTTTCCATTGACGCCATTCTGAGTAGTAATAATTCTGCAGTAACTGTTGAATTAAACACGAGAACGTAATATAAAGTCGTTTTTGGTCAGAAAATACCTCGAATTATTGTTATCCTATTATTATTCTGCAAACCGATCTAAATATACATATATATTTAGTAAGAAATGCGACACTCGTTTTTCTTGCTCTTATTCGTTGTATTATCATCAACCCCCGTTTCCGGTATAAACTACCTGCAACCTTTGCCTGACTAAGCCCATTTGTAACGAGACCAAGATTGGGTTCAGTCGGTCAATTGCAACCCATAACTATTTGGTCTGCTGAGATATCAAGTGAGCTAATTATCATACCCGATTGTTCAAGCAAAAACCCATATGAACTCGATCGAAATAGGGTATTCGATGTACGACTTTGCAGCTTTAGCGAAATTATTAATCTAAGTGCTATTCACCATCCGAAAAAACTGTTTCATAACATACATGAAGTAGAACCTAGGACCGTTTATTTAAGCAATTGTTTCGTGGAACCATTCTATGCTTGTGCCCGAAAGTGTATGGCAAGCATGAGGGCAACGTTTAGTGAGCATTGGTCCTTCGCCGGAATAGGGTCAACGTCCTGTTGCTTTGAGGTACTACTAGGCACTCGCAGCCACTGATTACTACTCATTTTGGAGGAAAGCTGTCCTTGGCCTGAATCAACATCGTATTATGATGACCAATCAGAATCGTTTCCTCAATTTTGAATCCATTCATTATTAAATATATAGAAGTACATATGATTTGCGGTAAAGGTTTTGTCGGCCTATCAGATATCTCTGCTTAATATCATGAGTTATGGAAAATTTCCGTCCCGCCAATTTCGCCAGCCAATGCCTTGCTGTTTAAAGTATTTCAAGGAGCATTTCTTTATCGTGCAGTTACATCTTTTTTACACTGCTCCTATGTGAACTCCCGGTATGAATGTGCAGTGCGCAAAAGACTCGTTTAACTTAGTCGAAACTTTTAACAGAGCAAGGGCAAGCAAATCGTGTTACTTCCAGCTCCTAGAACGCGGCCATATTGCAGTAGAACGACTGACTGAACACTTAAGTTATATACGGCCTTTATTTTACAGTTGCGTCATATTCATTCTGATATTGTTTCATTTGACAGCGCTGATGGCGTCGGGTCTGAAACTACGGGCAGCCAACCCTGAAGCCTTCATGCATCCGGTAAGAAACGAGGCATAACGACATATGTAGAGAAACGACCACACTATACACACAATAAACAACATAAAAACGTGTTTTGTCTTTTGCTGTCACGCTTGTAGCTGCGGCTTATTTGCTGCTAGCTGTAATAACCTAGAAAACATTGTTTTTTCTGTTGAAAATGCTGAGAAGTCCAGTGCCCCACTCGAAATCTAATGCTAATATATTAGTTGGTAGTCTATTTTAATAAATTCGACTAACCTATTTGATGGACGTGACTCAACTTACTCTATAGTATAGATATGTATGAAGAACACAAGCTCTGTTGCATGACTGGCATCCTCGCGCAGCTACTACAGGTCAATAGAGGAGGCTTTGGCAAACTAAGTGGTAAAATTACTTTTTTTTTTTACCATGGCAACGATTCGTTAATCGGTGATCGTGCCAGAGTCTACATCTATGGAACTGCTTAGTTAACTGGTACATTAATACTTTGCCAAGCGCTAAGAGCCTGCGCTAAAGTAGCGAGCTTAAGGCTAATCGTTTTCTCCAAACGTGCACCCCCAAATAACGGTGATCTTTGAACGAGGGGGCCAGGAGGCGTTCCTCAGTCTCAGAATAGATATAGTAAGTTAATACATTGTTCCACGAGTCGGTATTATGTTGTTCTTCTTTTTTTGCGATTAGATTTTGATGATTAAATCATACGGGTATCCAGCGGAGTTACACCGGGTTGTAACGGCAGATGGCTATGTGCTTGAAATCCATCGAATACCCGGCAGGAGAGGTAGTGTTTCGGTTCCAGTTGTTATCCAACATGGACTCTTCTCCTCAACTGCGGACTTTTTGTCCAATCGACCTCCGAGAAACCTGCGTGAGTATTATCGCTGCCTAAGCATTGTATGCATCTTCGTAGTTGTTATAAGCTTCATATTTAAATTGAAACTGTCACTTTTCCTTTACAGTTATGCATGCTATACACCGTTGAAAGTTATTCCCGATTTTTTTTTTTAATTCTGTTGCCGTATTCGCCAGGAGATGTTACTCATCTCGGTTTGTGTCGCAGTGTCAAGACTAGTATCGTGAATGCTTAGTTTATAAATAAATAAATAAATAAACTTTTATAAATAGTTTTTATCTATACGTTACTGTTAGATCGAATAGGTTCCGATAAAGGGATCTGAACGTTTCTACCAAAGGACCACGACTAAGCTTTAAGGGCATAGTCACGAAACTAGTTTTCTCACTAGGGGCTGATACTAAATGCTCTCAAAACGAAAACAAAGAACTGAACGGTTAAAGATTACCGCAATAATATATCGTTGCTCTACTAGATAATACTTTGCTCGTATCAAATTTAAAATTTTAAACGCTGAACAACAAGTACAGGTGATCGGAATAATTATCTTATTCGATAGATTCAAGCTGTGGCCAGTAGACGTGCCGTAGACGTTTCCGACTAATCGGACTTATAAGTGGATCTGGCCAATTTTCAAATGGTGCCTACGTGACCGGCGTAAACTGTAATGGTTTTGCGACGTTGTTACTTTCGAGCTGGCGAGCGCTTACTTCTACTTATATCCACATTCGAGCTAAACTAAAAAGGCTATTGAATGTTGTTTTACCTTAGGCATAGATCTAACTTTTAGGACATGAAGTTTATTTTCGTCCGAATCTGCTTAAAGGACAGATAAAGTTATTACTTGCACATTTAAGCAATGTTTTTGTGTGTGTGTTTGTGTGTGTGTGTATGTGTGGATCTACTAGAAAGCTATCTGTAAACCATGTTCGAAACGAATTTGTTTACTGGCAAAGTCTACATTCTGCTATTGTTTCAGCATGCCTCCTGTGGGATCATGATTATGATGTTTGGCTATCGAACACCCGTGGCAACATGTACGCGCGATCACACATCAAATATAAGCTGGATGACCCACGCTTCTGGGACTTTTAGTAAGCTTATATAGTACAATGATCTATATTATAATTATTATTTAGCCTATTTTTCTCACGGCACCTTGTACTCTCCTTAGTTCTCGTTAGTTCCTTAATGACCTTTTATCTAACAGTAGCCTCTATGGGCTAACATGACCCCTGATAATATCAGCTTATATCTATTAGGTTCTCGAAAGACCACAGAATGATTTTCAGCTAAAATTAAAGCAAATATTTTTCATGATTTAAAACAATATTACGAAACCAAATGTAATTGTAACGGACTATTTTTTTATCCTTCCATTGAAACTAAATTGATGCCATTACTAACATTCTGTAAAGGCTGAAGTAGAGAAGGGTTCGATGCGGCCTAGAGGACACGTACAAGCCCAGTTGCTAAGGGTGCATGTGGTCTAGCGCTGTGTTTAGAAGACAATGCCCATTCCGTTCACTAGTTCCGGCCGAATGGCCTTCAATGGCTTGTTGTCCTAATCAATTGTTTCGTACAGTTCCTTTCCAAATTCGAAGCAGCTTTTTCTCTGGCACTAACCTGGGATTTCTTAAAATTTGTGAGGCACGTTTTCCAGTTTTTTTTTTTTTATAAATGAGACCAACGATCCACTTCTCATCACCCGTGATTAGCCGCTGTAGAATCTGCTTGATTTCTTGTGCAGATAGAAGTACAGTCGAGTGAGTTTCCCTGCGTGAATTCAAGCATCAGGTCTTTTTTGTTTGTATAGTCAGCTTGGCTTAAAGCTGTATGGCAGTCTATATTTAGCTCCTTAGCGAAATCCTGGCTACCCACGGGTCGGCCTTGCTTAACCGGCATAGTAATTTCATTGAATTTTGTTGTGATTGGTCGACCACTAGGACGGGTGTCTTTTAAATCGACATTTCTAGAACGGGAGCAGTAGAACCATCTTCACGCCGTTTCGTCCGCATTTCGAGCATAAAGCGCGCAATTTTTTTTGTGGACCTGGGCAGTGTTTTTTTGCAGCGGACAACAGAATTGTAAGCTATAGCAGATTTGTGGAGAAGTTTGATGACATATTCAAGACATTTTCGAATAAAAACGGAGCAACAATTTTGACGCAGTAGCACTGCTACATATCGGCCTTCAAATGACACCATGAACGGCCTGGTTCTGTATATATATATATATATATATATATATATATATATATAATAAAACCGGACTTTAACTTACGAGTTATTTCTAACACTGTATGTAATAGAGCACAGACCTTTTGGTGGAATACTCGGCGTGCGCTGGGAGTATCATTTCTTACAGGCATGCTAACTCAACGTGATTACGACTCACCTCGATCACGGCTTCTACGAACTATTAAATATTAATTTTTAATTATGTTTTTATCTGCAAAAAACTTTTTAATAGTGACCCTTTATCAAGCGATATCAAACTCCAAGATATCAGTTACAAAAAAATTTCAGTTGTTTTAAGCTCATAACAGGCTAAACGTGGCAAAAATGCTCCAGATTGGTAGCTAGTACTTTCGTTTCCTAAACGGCCGTCAATTTCTCTAGGAGTATCAAAAATGTTTTTTGATACTCTTTTGATGAACTTTTGAGCCTTCTAAATAAAAAGCCTACTAAGAATATCTTTCAGGTTGCTTTATGGAAATTTTCTTCACACAGACCGTACAGAAACGGACACAAATATACACCATCGAAATCAGACAGATAAGAACTTTTGATCCTGTTCTCGGGCTTGTTCGGGGCGGAACATGGGATAATGACTGATCTTGGCTCAAATTCAGAATTTACACTCAGAATTTACATCCTTATAATGCGACATTTAGAAATGCTAACTTACGTACGAGCTAACTATTTGCTAGTTCTACAAACGTTTTTCCAAAAAGTAGCAAGTAAGTGGAACTAAGCAAATTAATCGTCTAACTAACCCGATCCTGTGATTTCCTGTTTGGCCCATAAATTATGTCGGTAACATATGCGCATACTCGCTGGGACCGTCTGCTGATCTGGCACAAAGTCCCATATTTATTAAGTCTTGTCGTCCGAACGCGGCCATTAGGATGTAAAGCTTTTACAAGTGAGAAGAACGGAATACTTTTCGTAAGCGGTGATGTCACGTGAGCTATTGAAGCCACTGGGGCCATGGCAGAGAACATGCGGAGCTGTAGTAAAGCGTGAAGATCACTGTGATTATGTACCGCAGATGTTTGTGGCGAACGATGAATAATTTTTATTTGCGTCGCACTATTTTCCGCCATGATGAATTCGCTGTTTTGTTCTAAAAGGAACTGGCTTTCCTTTGCTCTGAAGAGTAGCAGACAAATGCACACCCGCAACCAAAGACAGTTCGTCACAGTCTGTTCAAATTCGAATGCTCTACCCTGTATATATACATATCTTTTGCTGTTTTACAATGTCCATGATTTCAATTGTCCGTTGACAAGGGCTCGATATATAGAAGGAGTGACGGAGTATTGTGTTTATAAATTATATTTCAGCGGGACTAGGTGCTACACAGAGTGTTTCGCAACGGATATTTGTCTTACTAGGCTTCTAAATAAAAGGGTTCGAGGTTAAGCATTTACAAATCGGGTGTTTTTCAATGAGAATCGATCAGAATACTAGTTGAAGCGTCAGCTTGTGAACCGTTGTACTGAACACTTTCAGTGTTGACGATTTCGCCCGATTCGACCTACCCGCTGTAATCTCATACGTGCAACGCAAAACAGGTTATACCCGTATTCACTATATTGGCCACTCACAAGGCACTCAATCGATGTTTGCATTGTTGTCAACTCGACCCGCATTTGCGCAAAATGTAAGTGTTACTCTTAACCCACATGTTGACTTTGTAAAGATTAATTTTGTTTTTAAATCAACTGGGTTCGTTTGAAGACTCTATAATCTGGTGAACTTGCTCGAGTTATAGGGTTGTCGCATAACCTACACAGCAATAAGTTGAATCAACACGCTTTTTTTTTTTTTTTTTTTCTTGAAAAATACCAAAGTCTTTAAACGGAAACCCGTGGTCGCCAGATCCATGAAGCAGACGAAAACTATTCATTTGCAGGTATTTGTCTCACGAAAAACACCTGCGGGACATAATCATAGTGATCTTCACGCTTTATTACAGCTCCGCATGTTCTCTGCCATGGCCCCAGTGGCTTCAATAGCTCACGTGACATCACCGCTTACGAAAAGTATTCCGTTCTTCTCACTGGTGAAAGCTTTACATCCTAATGGCCGCGTTCGGACGACAAGACTTAATAAATATGGGACTTTGTGCCAGATCAGCAGACGGTCCCAGCGAGTATGTGCATATGTTACCGACATAATTTATGGGCCAAACAGGAAATCACAGGATCGGGTTAGTAGAGACTTAAACAACTGACGATTAATTTGCTTAGTTCCACTTACTCGCTACTTTTTGGAAAAACGTTTATAGAACTAGCAAATAATTAGCTCGTAAGTAAGTAAGTAAGTTAGTATTTCTAAATGTCGCATTATAAGGATGCAAATATGAGCGTAAATCAATGAAATTGTTTGCATTGTCACAGAGAAAGGGTTTTACATATCCATCATTGGATTATCGTTGCACGTATATAAAACATAGTATAAAGAACTCAATGTCGATTATTAAAAGGATGAGTTCGGTACGACGTGAAGACACTTGGAATTCAGGTGTATGTACCTTCAACCGCATCTTTTGGGATTATTCGTGTGTAGAGATATGTAAAGAGAAACAAATTATACGTGTACGTTTTCATATGAATACGTAGCAACGGTCGGACGTCTACTACTCACATTTTCCGCAAGACGTTTCAATAAAGAACTCCGAACATTTGAAGCAGCTGAATTCGCGGGTCGGCTTTCGTATGTTTGACTATGGACCTGAAATAAACCTTCGCAAATATGGAACGGTTGGTAGACGCACAAAATAATCCAGCTTGTAGATATGCTATATTGAAACAAATCTTGAATTTTGGATAAATTTTCGGTAGTGTCTATGCCATATTAATTTTGGCTCAAATCCAAAAGCGTATGTATTCTTCGTATACATTTGCTGTTATGTATCTCTAGCATAAACTAACTATACAGGTGGATACTTTCTTTAATTCCCGTCTTCGCTGCGAGATCAAACTAAAACTGGACTATGGTAGATACATCCGAGTTAGCAGCGAAACCTATCAAAGTATCGATAAATAACGTACTTCCATTTTGCACTGCCTTATTGAACGCTTTGGCTGGAACAGTAAAATGCTGAACAAGTAATCGACGCACTTTGAATGTTGATTAAGTAACGTCCATTTACTCAGACATACTAGTTTTGTATGGGCACTGACTAATTTTCAGGCTGTGCCGCCGAGCTATCCTTTGTCAAGGATACGCAACGTGCGCATATCCCTCTATTTCGCCCAAAACGATAATCTTGTTGAGAAACGTGACGCGGATTTTCTTCTCAAAAGCCTTCAACCCAGCGTTTTATACGATGTAAGTTATGATTCATAAATTAAAACCAACGCCTTGGGAACAGACAGCAGCAAAAACAACAGAGTAACCACTGATAATAATGCCGTTTAATCATTCTAATGCATGCGAAATACACAGCCTGGCCATAAAACAAGTAATTTGATTTCATTTACTCGATTTGAACGTGCTTACAGGTGTACACGATACCAAAAGATCCACAATTTACGCACAACGATTTCCAGTGGGGTACGCGAAGTCTCGAATACGTCTGGGGTAGAATGATCAAAAACATGGAAAACGTGGATCAGCTGGAAAGCATGGATTATGTCTATGGTCGACATAGGTATCATGTCTGAGCATAAAAGAAATAGGGAAGGAAGAACGTCGTTTTTGTACACACAATTTGACGGTTAACTAGAGTTTATTATGGAATCGTTTGCGCGCTTTTAAAACTGTCGGCCTACATAGTGATTTATATTTAAGTGTAGTGATTGAAACGGTTAGGCTGAATCTAGGCAAAACGAGTACTTCGGCCTGAGGGGAGTTTGCGTTGTCCATGATACCGCCTATAAAATTAATATTTACACATGTATTTTATGATAAAAAGTGTCTAGCATGAGTAGTATGATATAGTGAAATACTATGGTATATACAGAAGAAAAAAGTAAAGACACGATATGTTAGCCAGCCAGTCGACGGTGACACTTAAATCGTCTTTCAAAGACAACCAGCATATACTTAGTCGTCGTAATTTTTTCGCGCAGAACTTCTCTACTTCCAGGCGATAGCTAATTTGTGTCATAAGTTATAAGAGGCTAGGTCTACGCGGCTATTATTGCAACATACGACGTCAACGTTAGCAGATCGTTGGCATAAATATATGAACGAAATTTTATTGTGAGTTACGAGGTAAAAAAATTACAGCCCTGTTAATGTTTTTTCGAATATATGAATGGATCCTTATAAACTGACTGGTTTGGAGGTGCATAAACAGGCATAATTTAATATTGCAGCCTGGAATGGAGCTTTCTGAATTGACACACAGGTATGAGGCAGGACATATCATGCATAGCGCTGGTCATCAATCAATACAATCCCGAATATACAACGTCATTGGAACACAAACTTATCGGGTTACGGATAGAAAGCATCAAAGAATGCTAAAATTTCTTCAATGACCTTGGATAAACTAAATGACTCCGATGGAAAAGAATTTAATATTTGTAAACATTACTTTAAAAATCCACAATTGTAAAATTTAGGTTAGAAACCGATGTTTTTGCTTTTTCTATCATTAGTCATCTATCATTAATACATAGACAGAAAATACTCTCTGTTCGTTTTTCGTAAAGCAGCTTCAAACTAACGATTAAAATATCCTCTTTTTTACGCTAATAACACTGATAAAAGATCTGGAAATGAACGTCTACCAATGGACTGCTACATTGAAGCAATCTAGTTAACAGGCCTGAAGTCAGTCTCAAGTTGATTTTAATAAAAATTTCCTACCAACATTATTTTATTCAACGCCATACTTTCAGTTGCTGTGAATCGACCAGTGCAAGAAAACAAACGACACTTCCATGTGGTTGTTTTGTCATCTCAATCTTGTCGACTTTATACGGTAGTCGATTAGTTATCGTACGCGTATTATATGCAACGTTCTGTCTAGCCATAACATGGCTAGACTTCAATCATTTCCTTGCTTACTGGCAACGCAAATTCTGTACACATGAAGTGTAAGGCACGTATCTCTCCGTGTACTAGCCAATTAGTCCTAGATCAGCCTGCGATATACAGCCTTTTGCTGCGATTTGTGGATACATGTGTTCTCGATTTGTCTTAGAGCACCATAGCCAGTAAAGTGCACTACCAGTGGATATAGTCATTTAATGCCTAACCACGATTTATGTCGGAAATAAATAATTCTCCTTTTTATTTGTCCCATTTTCGTTCCGTCCGCTTAACCCGATGTGAGGAGCATTCCTGTTTCAGTATATCTGGCGACGAACCAAGTTGCACAACGATAGAAGAGATTTTGGAACCTTAGGGGAATGGCGAGTGTGGCTTACTGAATTGCTACGTTGCAATTGCTGACGGAGTAAGTTAGTTCTGGGGGGCTATTGGGATTTCGGCAGATGTGATGAAACAGTAGCAATTGCACCAAGTTTATATTGCCCCTCTTGCTCACTTTACTTGCGTATATATATAATGTATATATATATATATATGAAGCGACTTTCCGGCGATTGATGTGGGGTTCGCTAGTCTGGCGATGTGTTTTAGGGGGAACGACACTGTACGGGGGCAAACGGTTTACGCTTTTACTACTTCCACTATGGTTCCGGGTGTGTCGTAACTATGCGGACTGAAATGGAAAAAGGTTTTCCTTCTTGCACCGTCTTTATCCTTAAGATAGCACAAGAAGACTTAGCCAAATTTACTGTACACGTTTTAAGAGCGCTACCGATGGATTATAATGGTAACTGACTGCAAACGAATAGTCTAATATCAAGAAGTAATCGTTTTAATAGGGTAGAAAGTCGTTGAACAATGATTTTTGAAAAAACAAAGCAGGATTGCGCCCGACAGCTAAAACGCCTGCTTTTAATGTTGGCCAAAGATACTGAAAGTAACGTCTGATGCAACAAGGAACGTATTCTACATTCAGAACTGATGCATTGTTCGACGAATTATGTTTACCATATCCTTTGTGGAATACCCCGGAAAAGATATACAGTGAAGCGAAGATTGTACCAGCAAATCAACATATAGAAAGCAAAAATGATCTTATATATGCAATGAATAGCTCGTATTATGAACAAAGAGTTTACTTGACTGTTACAGATTTGCAATAAAAACAATTGATATAACAATCCGTGCACACTCGGACCTTCTAGCTCTAACACCTGACAGTTTTTTTAACCTAATACTGCACATCAACAATGAAGGGGCAACAGAAAGTCAGCTATGGTATAAGAAAAAAACAGCATTAATGATGTGCGTTCTTGAGAGTGTATACACAGTTACGCTCTACTATGAAAGCTACTGTGTGAGTAGTTTGTGCATGTTAATTGCGGGTCACCCAAATTATTAAAATTCTAATGCATCGTTTACAACCCCCCTCTGGTTTCAAATATAAGGCGAACAGCTTATATTTGGGTATACCTGCACTGTATAAGTGTTCCTTCCGCATCTAAAATTCTCAAAGATAATCGGTAAAACAGGCTGAAACGCAGGTAGACCCTTTGGGCGTCTTGCGTTCTGTACTGGCACAAGTCCTAGATTCTGATCTCACTAAGTGCTTTCCCAGTTTTTCTTTGCTAGATGTCCACTTACCCCGTACTCTCTATCTAAGGGTGCACCCCTTACTTAAGTACAACAACGCCAACTTCGTGCGTTCAACTTACACGTCGTGAATTCTTGATCAATACCAGGCAAAACTTCAATAAAGTCAGACATCTTATTTACAACCTTAAACCTGCCGTGCGTAGCCGACTTTCCCGCGTTTCCTTCGACAGGGCTTCACCGTCGTTTTTCCACCATATCAAAGCTGCCTTGGTTTTCCCGAAACGACGGTTGGCCGCGGTATGCTATCTCTGAGAAATCCCACAGGGGGCTCGATGAAGCAGACATTTATTTTAACTTGCGGACAATTCGAGGAGACAATGAATGAGCTTCTTCCCCATAGGCCTCCGCTGCTGACGCTGTACTCTTTCTCCGAGCCGAAGAAGGTTCTGTCAAAAGGAGAGTTCGACGATCTCGAACCTGGCAGGGGGTAAGGAGAAGGCGAACACAAAAACTAATAAAACACGAGTAAAATTTGATACGCCTTCAATTCGAACACCCCTCCCTCTTAAGCTTCTAGAACCATTGGTTATGTAATCTTGAGTGTGCTATACTTTGTGATAGCAGTGCTTCCCAATTGCCTTCACAGCTCCTTTTCTTCTCTGGCATACTCCTGAAGGAGAAATGGAAGACGAGACTCCGTCAAGCAGGTCTGCGTACCCCCAAGTAGCGTAACCAACTGACTGCTGGACGAGCTTCCTGCCGTTGAATTTCTCCACTGGTGGGCGCAGCAAGAATTCAGAACATTTTCCGAGCTGTTAACTAAATCGAGAATTAAATTGCTTTAGTAGATTGAGCAGTAGAATCTTACGGCGTCTGCCTGGCTGGCTAGCTGTGTATATCCGCTTGTGGGTGGGTGCCTGCCTGCCTGCCTGCCGGCCTGTCTGTCCGTTGATTTCTGATGGTAAGTGACAGTCAGGGCTTCGTTTGCAGTTTTTACGTATATGTATAGGCTACATGCTTGGCGTGTAGTCACAACGCGGCAGTAGCAGTGTGCGATTGAAGTCCGGCTGTATGTCGTCGCCAGATATGCACGGACTTCAGCAACGGTGCCCTGGTAGTGATTACAGTGCTGCTGATAATGGTCATCTTCAGAGCAATAGCAGTCGCGACAGTCAAGCAGTCGGTCAGCCGCTATAGTGAATGGTCGCTAAACGTAGATCATGTCCATCTCAGATGAACGTTAGCAGGAAACGACGGTTGTCTCGACAACTGCGGACACCGTACGTTCGTCTAATGTGAATAGTCAGCTAAAACATGCAAGACATGATCAAAACACGCCTCGATGCACGCCATCATGCAAGGCATTCTGACACTTGGCTGTGAGCGCATGACGTGAAGCACACCTCGGGAGAGTGAGCAAGACCTGTTACTCATTTGAGTTGAGCCAGGCCATCTATCCAAAGCACCCTGAATTTCTCTGCGCTTAAACTACCATGTTCTTCCCGACGTCTCCAGAAAAGGTTACTGAAAACGAAATTGGACCATAACTTGCTCAACACTAAGGAATTTGAAGAGTAAAAAAACTAACTGTTCTTTATTTCGTCATGTCCGCACCAGTCGGGAAAGCGATGGACGCACTCCCCAAAGGGGTATGGTTTCTTATACTTACGACATAGTTACTTTGCAAAGTGAATATCTCTAATACAGCACCACAGTTTTGTATCCTGTCTTTTTCTTATGGCTCTTGATAATTTACTACCGCCGTAATATACTTGGAAAAACCCTGCCAATGCGCTAGTTGGCATCGGTCGATAAACTTAGCCATTTTGGGGTCGATTAAGTGAACTGAAATGCGAAGCTTTAAAATTGGCCCCTTCAAGACAATCTGCAAGTTTCCTCCGACTGACCCTTCAGTATGGAAACCTCTGGAATAGATGTGCGTAAATTCTGGATCAGCCAGGACGAGAGAAGGATAAAAACTGGACGATTCTATAGGCACTCTCGATTCAAGCCTCAAATATTGCATTTTCAAAATGAGAGATCCCTTTTATCGTGTTTTGCTATCGTGTTTTTATCGTTTGGCTAGCGCAGAAGCAAGTTCTACGTGCGCTGTAGCCATTTGAAAAACTGAGAGATACATTGACATCTAGAAACAAATAAACAAGTTACAATTATATGCGTTTACTATTGTCTTAAAAATTTACAGATGGGATCACACTCTACTCCTTCCACCCCATCACTCCCATCCTCCTTTCTATATATCTTCATTCATTCTTTCTTCAACCATGAGATGGACTGTAAAAATTTTATAGCTTTCCGCCACGTCTTACAACCCTCGTTCCATTTTGGCCACTCCCCACCTCATCCAATTTGGGCCATTGTGAAGATCCTTAGGTGACTAGCATCCTCTGGAGACCGGTAGGGGCAGGCAGACCTGTCTCTATCCAGCGTCCACAAATGCCGCTGTGAAGATAAAGTGGCTAACTAAAGAGATTGGAGCGAATCACGGGGCAGGAAATGCCTCTGTCGAGAAGTCAAGTTACACACTCTTCGTGTCGTGTAATGGATCTGTATGGGACGGGCTGATCTCTTACTGTGCGAGCAAGCGAACTATGACGGGGCAAGGAGGGGTGTACTAGTGAAACACCCAAGAAATATGTCACTAAGAGCAAAGTGGCGGAGATCGTATTTGATCTACGATCAACTGCTGTTGCCTTTATGGAAAAAAGTTAGTTTACATAACTGCAACAATTGTTATGACCCGCATCGGACAATGATTACAGATCAGTCCCACAGACATTTAGGAGGTCTTCTTGTCTTTAGCACATCCATCCTTTGGCTATAGGCGTATGATACTGACAACAATGTATCATTAAATTAAAATAACTTTCGGTCCTTTCCAGGCTTATGCTCCTATACAATCTATTCATTTTTTCACTCAAAATGCACCATCTTTCAGCTATGACCGATAATTAAATTATTTTTTGAAAAATGTAAACCGTTATAAATTAATCGACGACTTACAAACTATATGTATAGATGTTATGCCTGAACTCAATTTTCTTTATTAGTAAATCACCTTTTCGTTGGTTGTTTTTTTCTATTCAAGGTTCTAAGAGATCTACGTGTATTAGGCTTTGCTACGCCCTAACCTTTGGACGCACAAAATAAGTGACTCTACCTGCATTCCGACATTACTTTTCTTTAACTGTCAACAAAACAAGCGTGGTAAAATTTTGTTTGCCTTTAACAATCCGAATATAAAGAAAAACAAAACTAATTTATGCAACTGCTTGCGAATAATAGAACTTAACAATAAGTTGTTTTGTCTTGTGGTACACCCATCGTAGTATGTACAGAACCAATTTGTTTTGATTGATTGGATTTACGTAGACCTACATGGGTCAGTGCAGTTATTTTTAATTACTTATAAAGTAATTTATTTTTAATTACTTATAAAGTTTATTTAGTCATATTGAATCGTAGTCAAATATTAGTCGTGAGTTGAATATTATTGATGTCTCCAATACGGAACAAAGTTTGACCAGCTCTGTATATCGACTCCATTATATACATTTAATTATAGCGTATATTTTACTTTAGAGATAAAACTATATCGTCACACTGGTTACCTAGCTACCTGTGCTTGAGAATAACAGCAAAACCCTTCACAGTTTTTATGGCTGTACATTACAAGCATCGTAATTTTCTATCCATTTTCTTCTATACCACTAACGGGACTTCTTCCCGCGGAAGAAGTTAATCATATTATCGTAATAAGACACTATTTTTGTTCAGCAAGAAAGAGAAACGTATAAAGTTTGGATCTCCAAACGATCCTTGAAGTCTCTTGTTTTTTTCTGAAGATTGAGAGTAAATCTTCTTTTGATGAATATAAAGCCACTGGCAGATAAATTTTTGACACATTCTAACGGGATGAAGTTGCCTAAAATCGTATCTTAAATATATACCAATAATGTAAATATATAGTGGTCGTAGTAGGTAAAGAATAATAGTTCATATGCACGAACACAGAGAACGTAGACATTTGTAGGGAACGGCCTCGTTTGATTTCAACATGAAGCTGTACTAACGCTTTTTCCGGAAGGAGCAGGTTCCGCAGAGAAATTATTTTGCCATTATGAAGAATCTGGAAAGACGTTCACTAAGTTCGTGAGTACCAAGCGGCTGCTGCTAGAGGGGCTGTGTATGAAGGAATGAGCTTTCTTGGACAGCATTCGGGAAACAACGAGATCAGCACTTTTCACTAATTACCGATGAAGGTGACTTCGTAGGCTATGTTAGTCCGAGTGGTTTGAAGCTAAATGCTGAAGAAGTCTAAAACTTATTGGGGGAGCAGCTCCAAAGAACTGTGCCAGTTATTTGACCTTCATTTCGGCTCGGGCCACGGATCAACCTACCAGTTCGATTTTCTAATTTTTAGGACTCTGAGCTCGCGGCGCATCAAGTAGCGAGCCAACAGTGAGCAATCGTGAGAGGACTGAAAAGTGGACGGCTTCATATTCAGGCAAGACACCATCTATCACCTTAATTCGATGGCATTGCGATTCGAAACTCTCATACGTCGTAACT